AGGTGACACGCTCCTTTGTAGGGAACAGAGAAATGGGACAAATCACACTGAAGAAAGATCAGGTAACTGGACTAATGTTTGCATGTGTACAGTATGTGTAGCTGAATAACATGCATCAATTTCTAACACACAAATACTAACATTTTTCATCTGTTGGTGCTATTGTTGCCTGCTTTGAAGTTTAGGTTGGAAAAAGAATAAATAACATTTTTTAAAGAAATAATTGGAAATAAAAAGACCGTTTAAATGCACCAGATATGATCAAATGGATGTCTGAGTGTACTGCTGAGCTTCTTAATGCTTTGCTGTTGTACCCTTAATATCAGCACATAAAAATGGTGCTTGGTGTATCAGTCAATCTGCAGAAGTCTTTGTGAGGTTATTAACTTCATAAAGGCAACACTGCTGTCCTTCTGTGTTTCAGATTGTGGTAAAGAAAGGAGATGAGAAAGGTGGCTACTTGAAGGTCAGCACTGGACGCAAGCTGGGTTACTTCCCTGCTGATCTGTTGGAGGAAATCACCGTGACATAAAAACTACGATGCAAAGAGCCTGTCACACTCTTTTAATATCAGCCCAACTTGGAGATGTCACAGTTCGGGAGAAGCTCCTGATCTCTCAGCAGTTTTCTGTATTTATTACCAAAAATAACATCAACATTTGCTCCACTGGTCTGACACAAAGTGTGAAAAAGAAGAGATTAATGATCTGATCATTTAAAAAAATGGTTTCATTAACACATAAGTTGCTAAGAGAGATTCAGGGGCTTTAAGTTACTAGCTGCTGATTATAATTGGAATTGGTCATAAAGCAATGTAGTGGCATGGAGGTAGATAATTAACAAGTGATTAATATAAGATTAAACAAATGCATCAATATATTTGTATATAAATTTGACAATAGTGTTAAAACATTATTCCCGTTTAACCTTACTGTTCATTTATAAATTAACTAATTTAATTTTTATTATTTATTATATATTATTTACTGTATAACTATCTACTATTGGTTTCTACACTATTTGTAAGGCTCTATATAGTTACATAAATAGAAGCTTCAAAGCCATTTTAGAACATATGTAGCTTTATACTGACAAAAGAAAAATGTGCAGGCAATGTCCCAGATTGTGCTTGTTCATATTTACACACAGGTGTGACCCAGACAAGCAGAAGGGAAGCCGTGTGAAAAAAACTGCACAAAATCAGCAATACTGCTCAAAATGGTTTCAAATGTTTGCACTCATTGCTGCTGCTAACATTAGCCCAGTGCTGCAGTATAAATGTTCCAAATAATAAACCTGAAGTGCACTTAAAACCTGCCTGTGAAACTTTATTTGATGTGTTTCCAAAAGGCAACATTGTATGTCTGATGAGAGAGAGAGAGAAATGCAGAACTGCTCTCAACTGAGTTAACTGTGGTAAAATGTGATATTAAATGATATGCTGGGTTTCTAAAAATGGTTGTTTTGTGTCATTTCATGGCTGCCTTTCTCTTACAAATCCACTTTTTCAGATGTAAACTTTTGAAAACTGGCTGAACAGCCTGTTGAAGCTTGGTCAAAGGTTAAGACAAGGACAAATGGACTTGCAAACACAATTTATTTTTATTGATATACACTTTTTCTCGTTTCTCACGGACACCTGCGTCCTACTTCATTTTACCCCAGTCTAATGACACATAAGGCAGTAAGGGAACAAAACCAATAATAATAATAATAATAATAATAATGTTTATTATTATTTTTACTGCAACAGATTGCACTACAGAGTGATAATAAAATATCCCCCGCCTGCTCGCCGCCGGCGATGCAACTTTCAATGTGCCACTGATGTTCACATCAAACCAACGAAAGACAAAAACAAACCCTCGCCATTTTACTGGCTTCTCCTTTTGCGAACTAGTTTTTCCTCTTCTTCTTCTCCTTATAATTTATGGCAGTTGGCAAGCAACACCGGGTGCATTACCGCCACCTTCTGAGTGCGGGTCAAGATAACCTGTCTTCTACCGAACCTTCAAATTCTCCTACAGTATCAATCGGAAGATGGAAGAAAAGTCCCAAATCACCGTTCCCCCGAATTCTTCTGCAATATATCCGTTATGTTAAAATCGTTTTCATTGACATTTAAGCAGCTAAAAGCCAGTTAATGACCTAAGGCTCAGTGCCTCTACATCAGAGCGCGCGCTTACTGTTTTCAAGCGGATGAATTAAATTTTATTTCTTGTTTCACTCGGATATCATTCAGTCAACGATTGATGACAATACTCTCTTGATACATTAATTTGAAAAATTTCAGCATACTTACGTAAGTAAGCTGCATCAAAAGACCTACCGCACATACAAGTTACTTTAACTTGTAAGTTACTGAAGTATTTATTTTTTTACAGATAAAGAAAGCCCCGCGTTAGCAGAGCATCAAAAAATTGAGTCAAACTCTTATTGTTCCTTTCCACGGAAATCTTTAGTAAAAGGCGAAAGATTTATACGATCTGAAGAGAAACAAGAGTGTACTGAAGAGCGTAAGTCCAAGTGACCGGCCCCATTCTCCGCCATATCATTCTCACTTAAGGTTCAATACAAGAAAAAACGGATATTATTTAGATCATATATATACATATACATTGTTTACAATAAAGATCAATTAAAAGTCGCACCAAAACCTAATGTCTGGGAGATAAATATAAAGGTTTAAAGAACTAAATATTTGCGCTATGCATTCTGGGTATATGGCCACTACGACCACGCCTCTAGTTTTTGAAAACTCGTTTCAAGAATGAAAAAACAATTTTAGGCCTGTTGACAAGAGCGAGGACAGGACGCACACTTTCTCACAACTTAGAATTTCTCTTATACTGTTTAGTTGCACATCCTGGTTTGCATGTGATAAAGAACAGAGAGTCATTTTCTGTCAAGAGCGTAACCCGCTCATGTACTCCTGATAGACATCCTATCGGTGTTTATGGATAATCATATATCGAGTAATCTATTTTTTGCTAGCTGCATAGGCTACTTTATAACAGCCTGTTTCAACAATCGATTTTCATAACGGTGCCTGCCTATAAGATCTTTTCCGAAATTTTAGAAAATGATCTTTTAGACGAGAATTCTAAAATACGTGTCTCCTTGGGCAGCTACCATCTAGACACAGCCTCTATCTAGTTTACTAATGTTAGCCTATATTGTATGGAAACATTTCCATTGTGCTGTGTGTTGGCCATATGACGCTACCTCGCAAAAACATGGACCATGGACCCCGGTACCCCTGACCAGTACTGGAAAAGAAAAAGAAAGTTTTTTGCAAGGCAAAGATGCTTAAACACTTACAAGTGAAAAAAGTGCAGACTACACTGTTGAATTATAAAGACCATGTCCCCGACCAATTTGAAATTATTATTATTATTTTTGTTATTATTATTGGATAGCCTATAACTTGACTATAGGTCATCCTGAAGTGTTACATGTCACTTTTAGTTATATGAATATGTTACTTTCATTTCGTACAGTAATGCCTTGAATGCTAAACGACTGTGTTACTCATGGATAAATTAAAAGAAAACCTAAAGTCCAGTAGATGGGGCTGCACTCCTGAACATAAAACAACCAAGCCTGGTCCTATTGCCACTTCTTCTTAACATGTTTCTGTGATTTTGCTAGGCTATACTGATAGAGTCTTATAGGCAGGTCCATTAACATCAGTGTTATAGAATTAAATGTGTGTCACTGGCAGGTCACAGGCTAATAAAAGACAAACTTAGAAAACACCAGCAGAGACCACCTGCAGATAGGCCCATTTCAGAAACCCTGCTGTTATGACACATACTGTAACACTTTCTGTAGCTACCTCATTTATCATGTTATCATAAATATAGCCTTAATTATACATAAAAATCAAAAATGTAGCCTAATGTATTTCACAAGGTGTCTCTCCACCTCATTAATCCAAACTCTTATTCTTCCTTTACTGTTTTGTTTGTTTCTTTGTGTTTTGTTTTGTTTTATTTTTTT